CTGCCGTCACTGACCCTTCCAAGCAGTATCCTTCCCCTTTCCCTGGGTATCTAAAGCACATAGCACTTTCCTCTCTTTCCATAACCATCTTTTATACAGGTTCCCCCAGAATGTTAGCTTCCTGCGGATGCAAAGTTTATTTCTTTGTTCTCCCAGATTCAAACCCCAGGCTTGACACCCCAGATGAATTTATTCCTTGAACCCTATTTACAGAGTGCCTGTATGTGCCAGGCCGCATGCTAGACATGAAGGACGTCATGATATGCCATTCAGACATGGCCCCCACCGTTACACAGCACACAGTCTGATGGAGGAGGTGGTTAATAAGCAAACAGTTACCCAATTAATGCTCGATTAGCAGTCATTACGTGTGTTCTGAAGGAAAATAACAGGATGTTGTAAGGGAGCAATGGGGTGGGGGCAGGGAAATGAATGGAAACTGGGTAATCAGGGTGGGCCTCTGGAGGAAGTGACGTTTATGCTGAGAGGTAAAGGCAGTAAGGCGGGGTGAAGAGAATTCCAGGAAGGGGGAACAGTACATGTGGTGGCCCAGAGGTGTGCTGAGTTTGATGCTTTGAAGAAAAGGCCAGGCTGACTGAAACTTGGCCAGGCTCAGGGTGGAAGTGGTGTGGGGAAGGGCTTGTAGGGTAAACAGGGACATGGTCAGTGGTCTCAGGGAGTTCTATGGGCAGTGGGTACTACTGAAACATGCAACAATGTTTGCAAGTAACAGACTGAATGACTGGCTATTTATGCTCAGAGGGGAAAGATTTCATTGGACCAGAAGACTCAGGTTCAAAGCCCAGCTTAATGTGATTCTGGACTGCCAGAATTTCTCTAGGCCTTGGTTCTCCAGCTGAAAAAATGAAAGCTCTTTCAGATGTGAGGGAAGAGTGAGCTATGGTTTGTGTAAGTGGCTAGCAGCCATCCATACTTAGTAAACAAGGCAGAGAAGACCCCCCCCACACACACACACACATACACACCACTAGGCAGCTGGCCAGGTGTTCTGGCGGGAGCAACGCACCTCTAATAGCACCTACCTGGAAAGCACGCATCTTCATGGCCACAGCTCCATTGAATGGAATCATCAAGACCAGGACAGCAACTCCAGCCAGGGTAGAGGGACCCAGGTTCTGAGGAGGCACAGATAGACAGATAAGACAGATGAACAGATAGCCAACGTCCACAGACAGGACCTAACAGACAGAGGCCTGTTGACCTGAAATTTACAGGAAGGGCAGGAAGCAAAAGGTGGCAGTGGACCAAATAGAGAAAGCTGGAATGACCATGTTTTCAGAAGCAGCCAGCCATCAGATAATGAGGATAGACAGGGACAGTCGACATAGAAGGGTCTCCAGACACACAGGAGAACAAACTTAGACAGTGACAACCAGAGTCACACCTGACCTGCCTCCAAGGCCCTCTTTCCATCTGCAGGAAGGGTAACAGCACAGGCTGGAAATATTCAGTTGCAGGCACCAGCATCCTTGAAGTTCTGTTCCTTCTCCCCTTCCCCCAGTGCTGAGGGAAGCTCTCGTGTCTATACCATATCCTTTCTGCCTACCTAGAATAACCTTCTTTTTTCTCCCTTTTCTTTTTTGTTGTTTTTTCCTTTCCTTTCCCTCCTACCCTCTCTCCTTTCCTTGCTTCTTTCTTTTTAGAGATGGGGGTCTCACTATTTTGTCTGGGCTGGAGTGCAGTGGCACTCATACCTATTTACAGGTATGATCATTATACCCTACAACTTTGGACTCCTGGGCTCAAGTGACCCTCCCACCTCAGCTTCCTGAATAGCTCCAGGAACCCAGCTAATTTTTGTTGTTGTTGTTGTTTTGAGATGGAGGCTTCCTATGTTACCCAGACTGGCCTTGAACTCTTGGGCTCAAGGTA